TCACTCATAGCAGGAATCTAGAAAACTTAAATAAGGGACCAGGAAAATGAATAAGAAAGTAAAAATCAAAATCAACAAAAAACTATGAACCAGAGACATTCTATGGGGGGTGGGGGTGGGGAGAGGAGGGACTGGGGTCAAAATAAGGGGGATTGTATGGGGAATATAAAAATAAAATTTATTTAAAAAAAAAAGGCAGCTTAAGATTGACATTGTAATACAGTCCTCACAGCTATGCTCCTTGTTCCTGGCAGCCAGTTTCAGGAATCCCCCTGGGTGCCCAGGGACGGAGGTATGGATCAAGAAGGTAGGTGCATACACCTACCTTCAGTGGAATATTACTCGGTGATCAAAAATGATGAACTGTGCCCATTGTGACAACATGGATGGAACTGGAGGGATGCTGCTAAGCAAAATAAGTCAAAAGGAGAAAGACCAGTGGATGTGACATTATTATGTGGAATATAGAGAAACAAAACAAAGGGTCAGTTAAACCCAAAGCAACCACAAACCCTAGAAATCTTTCTGTACAGTTAAGGTTACCAGAGAGGGGTGAGGGTGGAGAGCAAATTATGGAGGGGGCCCAGTGGACTGTAGTGAGGACTGTGGGTGCCTTGGAGGCGGGTATGTTGGGGTAACACACATCTGAATCATATCCAGTGTTGGAAACCAATGTTACTTCAATAAAGTTTTAAAATACAGTCATCATTTAATTTATTGCCCAAGTACATTTTTTGAGACTGACCAGGGGCACCATTCATAATTTGCAGGCACGACAGGCAGAGACCAGGCCCACCTGGGCAGCCACCTTGTGTGGCGGGGCTCACGGTGCAGGACCCAGGAGGCCTTGCTCCTACATTCACGTCCCTCTTTGTTTGTGTTTCCAGCGAGTCCAGTCTGTTTTATACACAGTCACAGCGAGACTGGGGATTAGCCGTATTCCAGCTGCAGTTAATTCGCTGTTTCCAATAACCCAATGCAAACCCAATCTCGGCAATTAATTTGGCCAGATCAGATCAGGCCCTCTTACACCTGTTCCCCTGTTTAATTGGGCTCTGATCTCCCCGGGGAGCTGGGGGCACCGAGGACCATTACCGGAGCCTCAGTTGGGGAGGGCGGAGGTGGACACCCGCCACCACCGGGAAGCGCAGGCCCGTCCCTGAGGCTGCCCCAGCCCTTCTGTTAGAAATTCGCCTTGACAACTCTGCTCCCCAGCACGCTGGGGAAAGTATCCCTCTTTGTGTTTCAGGCTTCTTTTCATCTCCTCCCAAGGGCAGGAAATGTTCCCGGTGGTACTGCTTTCTGAGGTAATTGTTGGACAGGAATCAGCCCGTTAAGGCTGCCCACCTAATTAACAGAGCCTGTTATGATTTATCAGGATAATGAGGCAGGGAACAAAGACATCACTATTTTTTCCCCTTCCTGATATTTTGGCCTGTTTTCTTCCTTTTGGAAGATGACCCAACGTTAATGAGAAATGAGTTACTTATTGTCGGGATGCAAAATAGAGAGATAAATGACATCAGTAATTAAGTCTCCGGCTCTCGTTTGTGTACACAGCCATTTGTCAGGCAATATTATTCAATTAATTAATTCCATTAGGGCTACCACATTTCCCCCAAACTAGTCACTAACTGTCAGCTATGATAATCAGTGTGGCACAGAAGCAGAAAAGCCAGTAAATGTATAGAGGACCCTGAAAGAATGTCGTTTAACCACCAGCTGGATACCTAACTAGGTGGCATTGTGTTCTGGGTATTCCTCGTTCCCATGGCTAGGAGAGGCGGGGGCATCGGATTAGTCCAGCTCATCCTCTTACCAGTGTGAGGGGCATAGCTATGCACGATACAATGGGAGAGAGTTATCACCAGGCCTACTCTAGCGCCCAGGCCCCTCTGAGCTCTGCCTGCTTACTGGGCCCAAGGCAGGAGACCAGGAACCTCCAGGCGAAAGCAGCCATTGCCAAGATGGCCATGGGGTGGCATGTGTGAAAAGAGGTGTGCAAGGGTGCCCAGTGCAAAAAAGAAGTCCCGCATGCATGGCCCATAGACCCACCCCTCTCCCAGCTGTGACACCCAGTGCTTCCCTGTAAAGAGCACTCAGCCCCTCACTCAGGGAGAAGGAGTCTGTTAGCATGAGCTTGCCCTTCTCCTTTCCTTTTATTTCCCCCAAATCCTGTTTATTTAGGCTAAGCAGGCGTGCATATTCGTGCCTGCTCCCAGCAGTGACTTCTGCTGGCTGTGCTGAACTCCATTTTGTTCGATTGTTTCTTAGTAGGGAATGACCCAGCCAGGGCCTGGCCCCAGGGGTCAGTGACGATAGGGTTTTCAGGGCAGCACTCCTGAACCCAAACTTGTGGGGGCTCTGCTTTCTCTCTGCCCTGTGCCCCTCCGCCTCTCACTGCCCCCAACTCGTCCATTCTGTGATAATTGTGGCTCATGTGACCACACAGACAGACCTAAACGCTCTCCTCTCCAACTCCCCACGTTTCCACACTCCTTGTTAACTCTTGCCCGGGTGTCTCAGAATCCTCTCCCTCCCTCCCTCCATTTGCCTCCAGAAAAAAAGAAGGCAACAGTCCAGAACCACACTTGAGAACCACCTAACTGAGGAATTAGTATCAAGACATCCACGGAGAAAAGCCACAAACGTTCACAATCTCCACAAATCCCCATTTGCCATCTAACCAAGCGCTCCTTGGACCATCACTTGGAGCATAAATAAAATGGGTCTCTGTTCCATCCAGAGCTTTCTTCTGCTTTGATTAGTCACTAATACTGCCAGAGCATTGGGATCGGCTTGCTTGCTTCGTGACACAGCGGTATTTCAACTGCATTCAGGATTAAATGTGCCCTTGTGTGCTGGCGTGGGAACATGTCCTCCATTCCTAGGAAAACAGCTCACATTCCAAACAGCTGACTTCCAAAGTCCAGAACATAATCTGTTTGTGAGCTGGGTGGCTGCCTGATAGCCCTACCCCTTTCTCACCTCCCAGCTAATCAAGCCAACTTCGGTTTCCTGGGCCCTTGCTCTGGGCAGGAGGGAGAAATCCCCATCAGGCCCCGGAAGCCTGCAGGCCAGCTGAGAAGGCAAAGGCCCAGAGCAGCGGTTCTCAAACTTGATCAAAATCTCCCATCAGACTTGTCAAAACAGGTCGTCGGAGATCTGGGGGTGGGCCCGAAATCTGGCATTTCTGACCTCCCTCATAGAAATTTGCCTTCAGGAAAAGATGGTCTTGTCCAGAGATCATGCTGTGAGAAACACTGGCCAGGCTGCTGTCCTTGCCGAGACAAAGGCTGCCCTCCCTGGAGGGTCGGGACAGGAAGGGTGATCGTGGAGGGCCTGACCCTGTTTCTCCTCCACCTTGACCTGCTGGCAGCAGCCTCATCCCACAGTCCAGTTTCCTTGGAGTAACCAGCATCCTTGCAGTTTTCCAGTAAGATCTAATGTAGTGCAGAAGGCTCCCGGGGCCCGGGATCCTGAATGTTGGTGAGAATGTCGTGTGGGTGTCTTCTGCTTCCCATCACAGGTGTTGAGCTTGTTGACAAGACTTGGGGGTCTTCTCATGCTGATGTTCATGGAAGATTCGGTTTAAACCCATTAGCACTGCCTGGGAACCCAACGCTGAATCCCCATTTTGTGAGTTCATGGGTCCCGAGCTTCTCTTTGAATCCCCTTCACATAGGCACATGATCTAACCAAGCCCTCAGCAATTCTGCCCACGCCTTCAACCCAGCGTGTCAAGCTAGTGTCTAAGCCGTGAGCCCCCGGGGGAAGCAGAGCCTGAGACACAGGCTTTGGTAAAGGAAGGTTATTTTGGGGAGTGACAGGGTCAAGGACAGGAGGGCGTGAAGCAGGGAAGGGAGAGAAGGAAGTAAAACTGGGAATAAAAGGTATTCTGTATTTTTTCCCATTTACCCACATGTTATCAATCTCATGTTAGTATTATCTTTAATATTCAATATATTTAAAGATTTTATCAGCTGTGAGAGTTAACATAGAATTTCAGGAGTGCACATCTAAGACCTATTAGAATATGCCTATGGACCCTTTTTCTAGAAACTTCTACCTTTTCTGTACCCCAGTGATATAAGAAACAGAGACTGAACAGTAAATCTCATAACCATTTCAAGACCACCCGATGCAGGATGGCAAGAAAGGCTTTATTTTTGTGTTAACTCGTTGGTGCTTACATTAAAATATAGGTTGAAATTAATCAAGAGCCGGAGCATTGAAAATCACTTTTGTGGCCTCCTGTCTGAAATTCTTTCATCCTGGGCTTTAAAAATCTACTAGCTATTATTTAACACTTCTATACAAGTATGTGTCCTTTATTAATGCACGCCGAAATGAGACATAATTGTCACGATCAGGTTTTTGGTATGACACTAGGTTGCTGAGGTCCAGGGACATCTTTCCAGAGACAGATTTTGATGAGAAAAAGACCATCTTCAGATAAAGTGAAGATTATCATCAAGCAATTTACCGAATTATTAACATGAAGTTCAGCATCTGTGTTGCTAATGCTTCGGGTCTTTAACAAATGACCCATTCAGGAGAGGGGCAAAGAACATATGGCAAAGTCATAAAGGCCATTTGAAACTGTCGGACATTGGAGGCCCTGGGCCTCAGCACAGCTGAACTGGCTCAGGCCTGCTCACCCCGCAGCTGGGTAAAGGCCCCCCCCTGCTGCGCATGCGTCCCTAACACCACTTGGGGGCTCCGGAATCCTCCAGAGCTGAAAGACTGAAGCATTTACATATTTCCTTTTGTTAACATTTTCAAAAACATGCAAAGTACAGACACTAAAATAATGAGTCCCCAAAGATCCCACCTAGTTCGGTTGTCATTGCCAATCTTAAATACATTTTAATTTTAATTTTTTTTTTTTTTACATTTAAACAGGCATCATTTTTGCTCCTAAAGACAGGAAACCCTGGAAGATTTTTATGACCCGCCCCCTGGGGGTTGGTGACCCGCTGACTCTTTGGTTGACTGACCTTTTTCAATCCTGTCTTTATACCGGGGAATGCAAGGCAGCTCCCCTTCTCTCTGGCCATCTCATGCTCGCAGCAAATTAAGTGGACTCTGTCTATGATTTCAGCAGTGGTGACATATAATCCCTGTGTTAAACGCTGGAATTTTCCAAGGCAAGGAGCTGCAGAAAGCGAACAGAGGAAGCGTTGCCACCAGCAGCGGCTGCACAGCCCAGCATGGCCCACTGTGATGCAACCCCCGTTTGGATGAAAAGTGGAAAAAAAAAAAAAAATTGGACAACGGAATGATTGTTCTCCCTCCACAAGCAGCCCTACTATTTCAAGCCCCTCCTGAGGCTGTGCTAGCCAAGCAGACCTCCCTGGTCTTCCTCCAGCGAGCAGCGAGTCCAAGGACAGAGGGGGAAGGACCTGCTGTCTTCAGAGCAACATCCATGCCAGGAAGCTGCCTGCACCTGTCCTCAGGAGTGGGGATAGGTGAGCATGATGGCTGCACCCCCACACCTGGCCCGCATCTGGCCTGCACCTCCACACCTCAGCGCCTGGACCCAGCGCCAGCCGCCAGGAGCAGCTTCTTGCCTTTGGTCCAACTATTGCCTGCGACGCTAGAACAACCAGGGTCGGCCAAGAATCTGCAATGTCCCCAATCCCAGAATAATGACCAGCTTCTCTAGTGTTTCCAGCCAAGGAGTTATTGGTTTCCAGACAACAAAATCCTTTGGGGTGGGAGTCAGGAGTCCAGGAAAGGCATGTGGTTATTTTTGCCATACTCTGGAAAGAAAGGGAAATCTATTTTTGACATCAGCTATTCAGCTTTCAAATAACATCAGCCCATAAAGCCTACCTGACTTAAATGTTGATTCTCAATGTCACTTACCTTTAAGACTTTTTGGTGTCTTACTCTACTGCGCCAAACACACACATATTCGATCAATCGATCAGATAGATAGTTAGACAGACAGATAGACAGATAGATAGATATCCTTGCATTCATGAGTTAAAGTTTTGGAACTGGTTAAGGAATTCCCATTTCATATGACAACTTCCATCTTTAAAAAATAATAATAAATAGAAGCAGAGCAATGGATTGCTTCGTTCAGATTATAATACTTCTAAGACCAGCCGTGGCATTCAATACAATTAGTCATGACAGAAAGAACTACAAGTGTCTGAAACATGAGGGGGAAATGAAAGGCACAGGGGTGAGGGGAAGGAGAGACTCACAGTTCTGATATATCACAGCGGGCGTGAGTCACACGGCAGCCCCGCGCCGGCCACGAGCATGACACTCCCCGTGGGCTGGTGAAAGCTGATCAGGACTGTGTCAGCGCCGACAACCACCGGCACATTTGCATACACACGGGAACACGACTTCTCCAAGCAGGGGCCCCTTGCATGTGTTTCACTGTTTTAAAGAGAAAAACTATGTATCTTGAATAGTCACGAGAGCATGTGCATCCAGATTCAGTTTGTCTTCTAATTAAAAAGCAGAAAGTCACACTTTGGTTCCCTTTTGTTCAGCCAACATGAGATAAAATTGTTTTGTTTAAATCAGCTTTTCCCACCCCACTGACTGGGAGAACATTTTTGCACCCAACACTAATGATAAAGGACTGATCACAAAAATCTGCAAAGAGCTGATGAGACTCAACAACAACAAAGAAAATAATCCAGTCAAAAAATGGGCAGAAGAGCTAAAAAGAAACTTCTCTGAAGAGGAAATGCAAATGGCCAACAGGCATATGAAAAAATGTTCAACATCACTTGTCATCAGGGAAATGCAAATCAAAACTACCATGAGATACCATCTTACACCAGTGAGAATGGCACATATTAAAAAAACTAGCAACAACAAATGTTGGAGAGGGTGTGGAGAAAAAGGAACTCTCCTGCACTGTTGGTGGGAGTGCAAACTGGTCCAACCACTATGGAGAGCTGTGTGGAGATTTCTGGACCTACTAAACATAGAGCTTCCATAGGATCCAGCAATGCCACTCGAACACCTGCACCCCTATGTTTATAGCAGCACTGTTTACAATAGCTAAGCTTTGGAAACAGCCCAAATGCCCAAAAATAGATGACTGGATCAAGAAGATGTGGTACATATATACCATGGAATATTACTCAGCATTCAAAAAAGATAAACACATGCAATTTGCAGCAACATGGATGGCGCTGGAAGGGATCATGCTCAGCGAAATGAGCCAGAAAGAAAAAGAAAAATACCGGATGGTCTCACTCATAGCAGGAATCTAGAAAACTTAAATAAGGGACCAGGAAAATGAATAACTATAAGAAAGTGAAAATCAAAATCAACAAAAAACTATGAACCAGAGACACTTTTTGGGGGGTGGGAGGGGAGGGATTGGGGTCAGAATGGGGGGGTTGCAATTGTATGGGGAATATAAAAATAAAATTTATTATAAATAAATAAATAAATAAATCAGCTTTTCCCTCCTGATTCCCTCTGTTTTGGCGCCCCCACTTTTCTCAACTCCTGGAGTCTTCAGTGGACAACCTCTTATGTCACCACCTTATTTTCCTCCAGCCATCGAGGATGAGTCTTTCCACCCCTACTAGATACCTTGACCAGCCCCTTCGCCCCCACATGATTTTCGGAGCTGTTATTGAATGCATTAGTAATTATAAGATTTGAGTCATGTCTAACAAATTGACCACTTGTTATAAAAATAGGAGAGATGGAAGGGGAATAAATAAAAGTCACAGTTGTAGGTTTAGCATCACACATCATTAGACATGGAAACAGCCAGAACTGAGTTAGGACCCCAATAGGGTGACCACTGAGTAGGTGTGCCTGGGACTGTCCTTTTTTAGGAAATTCCCACATCCTGGAAACACCTTCATGTTGAGCAAAGCTTGAGAAATCAGATCATTCTTCAGACCACTGATGAGTCTCAGAGAACAAAATCCAAATGCAGATTTTGTTGAAAGTCAGCAAGATTTGAGAGGGTTCGTCACAAATGCACCCACACCCTACACCAGCCCCACCATGAGGCTCCAGAGCAGACCAGCTCATGTCCTTCGCTGCACTTAAAAGAATATGATCATTTCCTGGTTACTCCTTTATTGTGTGTTCTCCCTTCTATGTATGCTCCACGTGGCTTATTGCCCTCTGCAGCCCTAGAATATTCCCTGACCGAGGAACGATACTCAAGAAACATGCCTTAGGTGTGGGACTCCCTCCGATCAGAATCTGACAGAATTACTGTTTTCTGCTGATCCTTTGACGCACAGTTGTTCCCCATTTGATTTCTCTGGAATCGAGATGCATCTTCATCAACGACACCTTTCTGAAGCCCTCAGCCAAGTATTGGCGGTGACAATGCTGTCATCGCCTTTGCTGTTCCTGCTCTTGTTCAGACTATTTCACTTGTCCCTGCTTTAGTTAAGGTGTGTGCATCTGTTAGTTTCATGCGTAAACTTAAGTGCCATTTAGAAATGTCCTCTTTAAAAATTCACTATGATTCAACACCAAAATGACAAGTTATTTTGTACAGAAAAGCACAGAAGCCAACAGTAGGGTGTAAATGTGACATTGGTGAACAGGATTTGTCACAGAGAAATGATCATGAGTCCAATTTTCTTGCAAAGGAAAACCAAGTGCCTTTGAGAGCTCAGAAAGGAAGATACCCACAAAGCAGGGCAAGTTGTGTGACTTTCTATTGCCAAAAGACTGATTTCATGGCCAATTTTCTCAGCAGAGATGAAGATTAATTTCAAAGGAACATGACATGATGGTTTCCTGTGTCACTTAAAACTATCCTGGCCTACAGGCAGGGCAGGGTTTTTCCCTTTCTCATTGCTGCATAAAATAATGGTGGATCTTACATTTAAGGCCTCTTTGATTTGACTTTATAAAATGTGTTCCTTTGTGCTGGGTCTTTACATTCTCTCAGTCATTGTTACATGTTTAAGTCCATAGTTTGTTCATTCATTCTTCTTTCGCTTGCCAGATAATTGAGTGTCTCATAGATGCCAGTGCACTCTACTAGCCTCAGGAAATAGAAGGATAAGCCCAAAAAGACCCCATTTCTATACAGCATATAGCATTGAATGGGTTTTTTGCCTGGGATCTAGTTGTTGAGTAGGGTGGGGGAAATGACATTATCTTTACTGACCTCTCTGGGAAATCAAGTCATCAATTTGTCTCTGTCACTATAGGTTTATTTTTTCAAGAATTTTATAGACATGGACTGATATAAAAGGTAGCACTTTTAAGATTAGCTCCTTTCATTCAACATCACACCTTTGAGATTCATCCAAGTTGTGAGAGTCAACAGTTCACTCCTTTTTATTGCTAAATGGGGTAGTATTTGACTATAGGGATGTGATTCACCTGTTCATCCACTGGAGGACATTTGGATTATTTCCAGTTGTTAATTATGGACAGAGCTGCTATGAACATTCATGGACAGGGTTTTGTGTGAACAGAAATCACTAAGTAAGAAGGATATTGCTGGATTGTCTGCTAAGTTTGTGTCTAGCCTTATAAGAAACTCTCAAGTGGCTTTCCAGAGTGTGGTACACAGTTTCCACTGATATGGCCAAGACATCCGGTTGCTTTGCATTGTCATCAGCACTTTTAATGCTCAGCATTTTTTATTTTCACTATTCCATTTTGCCATTCTAGGTATACAGTTACACTCCTCAGGGTTTGCTCTATGTTTCTCTAATGGTTAATGATGTTGAAACACTCCACCTTTCTTCTGATTAGTAATACATGTCTTTTGATTAGTGACATATTTTTCTATCTTTTGCCTTTAGTCTTCCTATGTCATATTTGATAATTGAAGCATTCTAAAAAATCTGTTCTACAAACTGCCTTTTAATTGTTGTATTTAATCCATTTACATTTAATGTGATTATTGATGTTTTTAGATATAGGTCTACCACTGCATCATTTTCTATTCATCTATTTCTAGTGTATGTGTTTTCTCTCTTCTTGTTTTCTTTTATGTTATTCAGTCATTTTCTAGTTTTCTATTTTAATATATGAATTACATTTTGGTGTAATTTTTCTCTTTGTCTAATCTTTTTTTTTTTTTTTTTTTTTGTGGGACCCTCGCTGGCAGCCGGGGAATGAACCAGCGCTGCAGAGGCTGCGGGCAGCTTTGCAGCCCAGCGCTCAACTGCTGCGCCACCAGGGGAGGCCCTCTTGTCTAATCTTTAAATGGTTGTTTTAGGGATTAAAATATACAGACCTTTTCATAATCTATATAGGATCAGTATTTACCGCTTTAAGTGATCTATTACTACCACAT